GGTCTGTTCTTGGCATCGACCACCTGAAAGGCTTTCACCTTGGATTGCACATCAGAAGTAAGAGACCAACCACAAAGCCACACCAACAGTCACCATCACTAGTCAGTAGCCTGCGCACAACTGCAAAGGAGGCCGAGGGAAGAAACAGCCATAGGAAAACTGTCCACACCATCAGACACAAGTCACCAGCTTTGCATCACAGAAACTTCACACACTCCAACAAAACAGCTTATGCACGTTGAAGGTTGTAAATCTCACGACTTCTTGTTTAGCCGTTAGCTGCACCACACAACTGCAACGGCTACTGGAAACATACGGGTCAAGTAGCCTTGCTTGATGCTTTGCAGAAGATGCATAGCATACGCTTGTTGTCAGCTGCAGCCTTCGGTGCAACTGGCTGTGACGGTGTGGCCTTGCCCGATTGCCGACGTGCAGGAGCAGCTAGCACCAAGGCTGCATCACCATCGGCATCCTCCGCTGCCTGCACAGCTTTGCTCATTATGTCATGACACAACCAAACCCCCTCACTTAGACAGAGTCTTCAGCAAGATAGCACATCGAACAGCCTAGACCATCCAGAACTTCATAAGTCGTCAGGACATCAAGCTGTCACGACAACATGGCACAACAGACACCACACCTTGCGCTTGACGCCCATGCTGCAGGCCGGACTGATCTTGAAGGCCTGTGCACTGTACACACTTGCACGTACTCTGGGGCCAAAAGTCAAAAGACACATAAAGCTCGGGAGTGCAATCGCACTGTGTGGACTTACAGTACACTCGCACTCCTGCTGCAAATACATTCGCAAACTCACACAATGCCACAGTATTGAGCTGCTTGCAACTTCAGGCGGCATCACTGTTCTCAGCATTTTTGCGGGTCAGCACATTGGTCAGGTTCTATAGGGCCTAGGCCTATAGGAACTAGTAGAGTAGACTAGCCGAGGACTTCTTCGACCCTGTTCGAGCTGAAGAGCCTGTGGTCTCCTGCGAATTTCCCATCCACAACACACCTCTGCAACTGCCACACACGACTGTCATGCATTCCACTATCGACACACTGCAGTAGCAGCACATATTAATGGCCACTGTGCATGGTCCAACCCAAATAAAACCACTTCTTTAGGTACCAAATACAGTACACATGTCCCTTGGGGCAGTTCCACAGAGGATTGGATGTTGCAAATCATTGCATGTCGGGATGAACGAAAAAACAAAGAGTCCCAAAGAGACCACTGTCTGCAGCCCTCGAGTGGCAGCACTACAAAAAACCATCATGGTATGCATCCTATCCTATCTTAGCCCTCTCTGAAAGACTCTGAATAACCCAGCCTTCTGATGCCATCAAGAGAGCTACTGAATCCGACGAAAGCAGCCACAAACTGAGTCTGGCATTCTCATACTCGCAATGTACACTACACAGGATGCACACACCTGCACTCTACTCTACAATTACTGTTGAAGTGGCTGCCAGGTTCGGCTGCTGGAAAGATCTTGAGTTTTGAATTGTTGCAATGGCTAGTTCTGCCTGGCCCGGACAAGGGAGGCCCCTGACTGCCCTATGGCTGGCAGTGCTAGTATCGAACACAGAAACATGTCCTTCACACCCTTCACACAATTAAGGAAGCAGCTTGCAGCACCTCAAGAATCACACTGTTCGTCCGATATACTGCACTGTACTGTCTGCTTGCAGGAGAATGATGCACCCTAAAAGCCTAAAAGCTGCAACACTGCTCCCTCTGAAGTCACATCTGTCCAAAAAAACAAGCCCTGCACTGCTACCTGGTACCTGGGCATCAGCCTCGCCACCTAACCAAGACATTATGACAACCTGCTTAGGCTTAGAATTAGAAAACTGTACAGGAACCCGCTGGGGGCCTTTGAGACCGTGCCTGGAGTATCGGGGGACTTGGTACAGAGTCTAGAGTCTAGAGTTACGTCACATATTCCCCAACAGATAACTATACCCTCGCATGACTTACTGAGGAAGTACACACTCTTTCTGTTACCAAGTCCTCCGACCCTCCACATTCTATAATGCTGAACCACTGTTATCAGGACTCTAGATTCTATGCTGAAACAAGTGAGAGCTGTGCCCAGGATCTTGCTTCCAATGCAACACAGAACCGAGCATTGACCAAGATTTACACACTCAAGCTTTGCGTATAATGCAGAGCGAGAAACACTGTTCCTAGGCAGGGCAAGCAAATGCCTTCACCTGCCAGATCTCGCAATGTCTTCTGAGACATCTCTGTTGGCAACGCCACGTCCACAGAGTGCCCTTGAAAGAAAAGCATCTCCAAAGGTAGAACAAGTCGGTCCCGGGCATGACTGTACCAGACTGACGCAGTGGTGAGACACCTGGATTTCTTAGTTGCACGGCAAGTGTAAGTCTTTCTGACGGGATTCTGAGAAACATCTGTGAACAGGTCTGCGCAGGAGGGCCGCAACTGCTCAGCAGCCGCTGTCTTTTCACTCGGAAGCTTTGACAACGCCTCCCAACCCAAGTATCCTGCCACAGCAAGATCGATGCATTCCCAAACTCGGTCATTGTGCATCAGGCCACGCATTTCAAAGCCGGCGTTCGTCCAAGGTTTGCTGTTTCGCAACTCTGCTGTCGGCAGCAACTGACTCCGGAGAGCGCTAGCTTGAAGCTGCCACTGCTGCCACTTTCTCGAACCCATAGGCACCTGCATGGAGAAATTCTTTCGAACCGCACAAGTTATACTGTACGTAACACTGATAGAAGGTACTCACAATACAGTGGTAATAAAACAGAAAGTACTGCTAGAGTACAGGGAATGGTACTAGTAACTTACTATAACTTCAAATTTGTCACGAATATATTCAAAATGAAACAACAAGACTCTTGGGTCCGGGTTTCGCCCGACCTGCCGCAAAATCACCATGGAGAGCCCAAAGTCGCCCGACTAACTGAGAAGCCACCCCAACCAACCGGAAATTCACCACCCCTACACTACACCCTAGTAGCTCCGCCAAAAGAGGATGCTAGTTAAGGGCGCTCGGGCCGACAGAGGATGCTAGTTAAGGGCGCTCCGTTCGTGGGTTGCTGGGGTGGGTGGGGTGGTGGGGTGGGGTGGGGGGGTGGGTGGGGGGGTGGAGTGGGGGGGTGGTGGGGTGGGGTGGGGCGGGTTGGTTGGGAGGTGGGGGTGGCAGCCCGGCTCCCAACACTCCCTTCCCGCCGGGGCACCGTCCCACAGCCCGGGCTCCCGCCTGCCCCCCCAAAATGGCCCCAAGGGCCGCCAAGGCCAGGAACGCAACCCCAGACCCCCCCCAAACCCCCAAACGCAAAAAAAACGCAATCCGACCGAGCCGGCCAAACGCAAAAAAAATGCAAAAAACACAGCGTTTTTGCATTTTTTTTGCGTTTTGATGGCTTCCGGGGGACTGCGTTTTTTTTGCATGCGGGACTGCGTTTCGCTTGCCGGTTGCGTCGATTGTTGCGTTTTTTTTGCGTTTCGGGAGGCCGGCGGGTCCAGGATTGCATTTTTTTGGCGTTTTGGCCTGGTCCATGGCCTGTGTTCCTTTTCTGTTTGGGGAAGCATCTGCTTGGAGGGCTGGGGGGTGAGGGGTCTGGGGATTGTGCGGTCTCTGTGTTTGAGGTTGCTTTCCAGGAACTTGCAAGCTTCCAGTTTCACTTCTCAGGGGCACCAGCCCTGAATCCCCAACCCAAATCAAATCAAGCCTTGCGTGAGTGCGGAGCACATACTAACACTCAGACCTATGTTTAGAGTTTAAAAGACAATACAAGTTTCGAAAACCCTCTGGTGATGTGTCAAGCAGACCTTCCAACCCTTTCAAAGTCCAAATTCCCAAGCACAGTTGTCGGTTCAGAAACCATAGCAGCCACCACCAGTATGGCTTCCACAATGACACAATGACCATAATGTTTGTTTGTGCAACCAGAAGGAACAACGACATAACTGTTAAAACAAACACATACACACGTGCACGAGAGAGACAGGGAGACTGCAACAAATAACTAAGTATATAACCTAAGTTACCCGTTAACCTAAGCCTTAAGTGTTGAGTAAGCACACAGAAACACTGGCATCACATGAAAAGTGACAAGGGTTTGGACATTCCAACAAAAGCCCCGATTCTGCCCTCTGCAGAGCCTGTGGAGACGCTTGCGGGCGTCCAAACAGCTTTTCATCTGCCCACATTTGCCAGTGCTCTCGAAAGAGAGGGCTTGTCTCTTCCAGCAGAAACGAGCACAAGGTCCGCGGGGTGTGCATTCGCTGGACTTCCTGCACCAAAGCCTGACGGCTGGAAGCAACAGTTCAAGCAGCAAAGTGGAACACACTGGAAGCTTGCAGAGCCTGCAATTCAAGTGGAAGAATGTCTTGAAGTCTTGAAGCAGTTCTCACACAACTGGCTCAAGGCAGAAAGCTGGACACACAGAAACGATTTCACTGCAGCTCCACACTGTCAGAGGTCGACCCAAGACCTGCCAGGCCTGGCCTGGACCGTTTGCTTGAAATTGGCCACATGGGCCGCATCGAACTTGTCTTTGCGGAAGAAGACGAGGAAGCACCTGCAACGAAAGGTATCAGAGTCGGCTATAAAATTAGGAAGCACATGAAGTGATCAGCCGTCCTACTGCATTTAGGACTCTGGAATGCTCTGCGCAGCTGTGCATCCAAGACGGTCGACATGGACTGCGCATGGCAACCGAGGAACAAACAGTTGCGGCACTTTTTCACTGCCACAGGATCACATGCCTGCTGGGCTGGAAGGCAACAGAAGGCCCTCGCTGGGCCATAGCTGACTCGGATGCTTGCTAGCCGCAAGCCACTTGCCACGGTTCCAAACAAAACCCTGGTCATAGCTGCGGTTGCAGCTAATTACTGAAAAGCAACTGTTGTGAACGAGACTTGCTAACTCGCTGAGCCGACTAGGGATTCGTGAACTTGAACGATGGCACAGCAGCGTAGCAGCTAACAGCTAAGGTCAGGGGGAAGCCGGGAAGCGGCTTCACAAAATGCGCCTCGGTTCCTCCTCCTCGTCCTCCCGTCTTTCACGTTCGGCAGCTGCTGCAAATGCAGCTGCTCCTTCGAAGGTTTGGAACAGCTGCCGCGACTCCTGCCGAGAGGAGAATGTATGCACGAATCTGTGCACATGCCTCTGCTGGGAATCGAACTCCTGTGCAGATGCCAACCAATTCATCAGCAGCCCGACTGGGCGGCCCTGCCCAGCTAGAACACTTGCGGATTTGATGTCTCGCACTGTAGGCCTGCAGGTCCTTTCCATTTGGCACTTCGCATGCCGTGGGCAAATTGCAAACAAGGTTTTAGAGTGTCTGTTGAAGCGAATGACTCCATAATCCCCGAGCCGGAACTCTTCCCTATCAGCTTCCACTCTTGGCCGCCTTGGCTGGGCAGGGGCCCTTGCTTCATCAGAAGGTTCAGCCCTGGGGCCAGGAGCAGCCCTTGCAGGCAGGCCAACCGGAGCATCCAACAGATCCAAGCCAACATCTCCAGCATCGGCTCTGGGCCGAACTTCCTTTTCAGCCTGGAATTCCTGTTCCAGCTCCAGTAACAGATCTTGATCGCCACCATCTTCTGGCAAGTCGGCTTGGGCCTCACCCAAACTCAGCTCTGACGCTGCTATATCGGACTCTACAGATCCAAGGGAGGACTTCTCTAAGTGCTCTTCGACCTCTGCAGCAACAGGTTCCCCGTCTGGATCCAGGAGCAGATCCTGCAATGGCTCCAAGTACGGGTTGTCGGGCTCTAGCTCTAGCACCCCTGCAGGTTCTGAAGCAGCCAAACCTTGATCCCCAGCCGGCTCACCAAAGTCCACCGGGCCCACTCCTCTGCCATCATCAAGATCACCTTCGTCTCTTGCTGCATCTGCTTCGGCGTCAGCTGGACGAGGGCCAGGCAAAGCAGATGCAACGGCATCGGCAGCCGATGTCTTGGTTCGCAGACGCTTGCCAGGCGGCTTGGAGGCTGGTGTTCTCGGCCCTCTTTTCTTGCCTGACTGTTTTCTGTTGGCTGTCTTGGCCTCGGCATCTTGGCTTCTGATAGCCTTTTCGGCTTCAGACCCAAGCCAGGAGCAGTACTGCGCAATGTTCGCATCAGAATCAAAAGCCAGTGGGAGCAAAGGAACAGGACTGGCCGACGAATCCAAGGAATGCCAGTGGTTGTCCATCACAGATATCACATGTGGTCTGACTTCCCAGGCACGTTTCAGGTCCAGCTGCTTGTAGAACTGGAGATCGCTGAAAGCGCCGAGTGCATTGCCTGCAGCCTCTGCCGGAACCGCTCCGACTTGCAGTGCCCCGGTCGACTCAGAAAGTTCAGACGGCAATCCTAGTTCCTGCATGTCAGCTGTCAAACGTAGCAGGACATGGTGCCAGGTGCTGAAGTTCACATGGCCAACATGCCCATACAGCACCTGCTCTGAAGCTGCAGGGCTTCCTGGGGCTGGTTCCTCAGCCTCCACCGTACGGTACTCCAGCACCACCATTTGGGACTCGAGCAGCTTGCGTGCTTCACACGCGATCTTGTTCACCTTGTGGAAGACTTGTTTCATCCACTGCTGGATTTTCCGACAGAAATGCAGTGGATCTGGCTCTGAACACACACAGACTCCAAATGCATGGCACTGGGATGGCCTGAACACACCATCTGCTTTCACAATACGTGGTTGCTCACTGTGGAAATGGATCCGGCATCGCCGAGACAAAGAAGATTGAAGAATGGAGCTGACACTGTAGGCTCTGCGAACACGAACAGTTTCATCACGAAGGATCTCCTGGCAATTGGGGAAATGATCTCGGCTGGGCCCGAGGTGGCCCGAGTTGTCTGGGAACTAGAGTAACTAGAGTTATATAGACTCTATTCCAGACTCTCGACTTTAGATTCACGTGCAACTACAAGTTCAATTAGTGAGCTCTGCTCTAAATTTTCGGCTTGCTACTCGACATCAAAACAATAGGGGGGTTTCAAGGTCGTCAAGCTTGCAGGTTATCAAGTTTGACTGTAAACGTGCTTCTGCTGCTCACACCAGCACCATCCGAGACTGCAATTCCAAAGTATTCCAAAGCGCCAGTGCATGAGCATCATACGCATCGTCGACCCAGAGGTCAACCATATACCCGATGCCCGACCCCATTTTCTGGCACAGGTTCATGTGTCTGTTGCAGCACTACAGCTGATTTTGTCAAGTTACTTGAAGCTCCGAAACCGAGGCCACAAAGGCAAGTCTGACTTTCGAAAACTGCACTACAGCCTGTTGTTTCGACCCCCGACTCCTGATGGCCAAGTTGCGGCCTCTATAGTCTCTAAGGGCTACCCGGGTTCATGGCCGATTAGAGTTTAAAGGTTTGGGATTGCGGATCTCTGAAATCAACACGAACCTTGGGGATCAATAGATACATCTGCAGGACATGGGCCCAGGCTCTAGGGCTGAAGAGATAGATGAAGTGACTTATTGACTTAGCTTACATTCGGATCATGAAACAACTATTACTGCGCCAGAGTCGGTGCCGATTGATCTGAAAACAAGAAACATGGAAGCTCTTGTAAGTCTTGTGCCGATGAGCAGGAAAAGGAAGAAGATGATTAGACTTAGACTTAGACTCAGACTGGACCAAAACAACCAACACAAAAATGCGAAGTAGGAAGCTGCTCAAACTTCGAACTCAATGTGTCCCTCTCACACAGGCCTCTGCAACCTGCTCTGCAGGAGGACACCAGCTGTAGGAAGCCATTCTGGGCCGAGTGGCTGGAGAAGCTTGCAAAGCGGAGAGCAACTGCCCATTCATCTCTCTTGTCCAAATGCTTGCTGCTGGCAGCGGCTCTGCCCCTGCCCCGTGCTCAAAATCTTTCAGGATTTGGATTTCCTCCTCAGAGAGCTGGGCCGGGTCGAGTGCCTGCTGCTTTCGCATCTCTTCCTTCAAGGCTAACTTGAAATCGAAATACCTTTCAGCTAAGGTGTCCCCAGCATAGGGGACCACAGCGAAATCGGCTCGCTCAATGTCTGCAGCAACAATACCCGCCCCATCCAGTCTTTCCTCGCCAGGCTGCTCATGCCCATGCACAGCCATGCCCGGCCGGTTCACTCGCTGATGGACACTCTTGGGAAAAGATGGAAAGCCTTGCCTGCGGGCCAGACAGGCCCCACGCCCAGCCTCGATATACTTCTGCATTTCGGCTTCAGAGAGACTTCGATAGACCCGGCTCATTTCAGTTGCCAATGCAGCAGTCAGCTTCCGGCCACACAAGTAATGGCTGTTGAAGGCTCGCCAGGCTCCGCCTCCTCCAGGGTTTTTTCTTTTCGGCCTGTCTGGCCTGTTTGCCTTCCTCTTTGAGGAAGAAAAACCAAGAATCCCAGTCTTGCCCAAGCTTCGTTGCCGTTCCTGCAACACAAACCGGCTGGCCAGGGTTTCCAGAGTTGGCACCCAGCCTCTGGAGCGGAGAGAAGCGAATTCTCTGGCACTGGAATGCCCTGATTCTATCCCTGCCACGTCGACAAACAAGATATCGGCAACCGCTTCCAGCATCGCGAGCCCAGTCTCGGTTCCAATATAACCCTTTTCGATGAAGTAGCTTGTGAATTCATCATGCAAGCATACAGGAAAATCCTTGATGCGTTGCACTGCAGCTTCAGATGCGTCGTCCAACAAGCTGAACAGCTGGTAAGGGAAGCTTTGTCGGGGCAATCTCAAATAGACATGTACCCCACACATCCCTGCAGAGGTCATGAGGAACTTCAGAGCTCGGGTGTGGCCTGTGACAATGCCTCTGGCACCAAGAGCCGGCTCCAGCATGATCTCCAGCAACGATCTCAAGCAAGCAGTGACATCGACGAGCCGGGCAGCCTCGAGGACTGGCCAGGACCTAGCCTTGCCTTGGGCAGCAAGCACTTTCTGCTTCTTCCTCCAATTGCTTCCAGAGATAGTAAGAAACCGGGCCATAAGCTGGTGCATGCGCCAAAACACGACAAAAAACCCCAAGCCGGTCGAAAGGCTTGGACTCCGCATAAGCCTTTGCAGAGTTCCGTCTTCTCGCATTTTCGAGTGCCCAAGCAGATGCCTCAGACTGGTCTCCAACTCCAGGTTCAGGCTCAGCTGCTGCTGGTGGGACATCAGCGCCTGAGAAGGAAGAACATGTCAACCGCTGGCATGTGGAGTTTCCAAATTTCAATTCTCCCTGATCGTATAGTCGTATATGTAGTGTACAAACGACCTCGGAAGCCACGAATTTCTGTACAACCGGAACCCTTCGCCCCTCGCCCATCGCTGAGACCAGCCCACGTCTTTTGTTGCAATTGCTACTCCCCCTGGATTTCTCCAGAAAGGTTCACTGCAGTTCTATTCGCCTTGGAATTTTCAACGAGGTTTCGGTACTTTTTTGCTTTGAAACGGATCTGGGATTTCTGATTTCTCAGGAGCCTTTGCTACAATTAGAGTCTATCCAACCTGCAATGTCCCGCCCTACGACTGTGACGATCCGCAACAAGGTCGTGGCCCATCGTCACAAGCAGCAAAGCATTATGTATAGCAACACTGGTGTATGTAGGCCGAGGATCCAGCAAGCATTTGCAGTTGCACACGCTGCCATAAGGCCATAACATTCAAGACTTTAGGACTTTAGGATCGCAGAACCCATGTTTTTATAGCTCATTATGGTTTTGGTAGTATAGGCAGGTCACAATAAAACAGTTTGTATCTTGCTGAACGAACTCGTGCTTTCCTGGCCTTCTGCCCGAGCAGCACCCCCAGCAGCACCATGGTCGCCGAGCCCAGCATCTTCAAGGGCGGCTTGCAACTCCTGGTCCCAGTCACTGGCACTGGCTGCACGTGCACGATTCGGGGTCGGTTCCTGTGTGGGACCTCCCAAGAAGCGTCTGATCAGTCGAACATGCAAGCCGTGGTGGGACTCGAGTGCCCCCAAGAAATGAAGGTTTGGCATTTGATTAAGCCAAGATTTTCTGCAGAGCACTGGACACGCAAACGGAACCAGTGCCCATGTGCAGTAAAGTGCCATCAGCGACAAAGTGTCTGCTGCGTCACGACAGCATCCCCATTGGCAGTAGTGGTCGAGCCGGTCGACTGCATCGATCGGGCCGTTTAGCATGGCCTGCAAGATGAACCTCCGGCGCCGGTTGATCTTCTGAACAGAAAGTGGCACCCCGCCATCGACGGGGAGGAAGAGACGGAACACCTCAGCCCTGTACTCGCATGGTGGGGGGGACTCATGGTGAATGGTGAGCTCCTCGAAAAAGATGGCAGTGAGCATGTCACGAAGCACCTTCACCGACCCTAGGTCGGATAGGGCAAGCGCAGTATTGATGGCACCCGACATGTCTGATTGCACAGACTTCAATGAGTTGCCGATTGCACTGGAACACCTGTGACAATCGCACAGCAGGTGCACAAATTGGAAACTCCCAAAATGTGCCCGCAGCCCTTCCTCTGTTCGATAGTTGGCGCTGTACCTGTCTGTTGTGGTAGCCTTTACCCTGCAAGGAAATGCAGAGCTGACTCTGTTCAGTTCTGCAAGGCTTCCCAGAGTGCCGAAAGACTCCAATACACAGGCAAGTTGAACTTCGCCTGTAGATCTCTGCATCGCCTGGAGCACGGTCGGTACTGTTGTCACAACCCAAGCAAACCTCTTCTCTCCTGCATGGTCTCGTGCGAATAGCATTCCGACATCAAGCTGAGTTTGCAAGACCTTTGCATGGGTCGCTGTCTGCTGTGTGCTCCTTGCAGCCGGTGCTAATTTGAGGTGTTCCAAGAAGCGCGACAAAAGAGCTGGGGTGGTTGCTGCCGACCTGGGCACCAACACCAGTTGCCCTTGCTCATTGGACATCACATCCGTACTAAGGGACGTCACACGCACCTTTGTAGGGGTCTCATCATAGCGGAGGCTGACACACATCATGACCGGTTTCAAGCTGCTGGAGGTGGCTGCTGCCTGCACACACGTAGACGCCATAACATTCCAAAGTAGCCCTGCTGATTCCACGACAGCAGAGCCCGCCTGCAACAACATGGACTGCACAAGGTTTTTTGCTCGCCCAGCCAACCGAGCAATAGTGCTGGCACTGCAGGTCAGAACGTCACCGTCTAGGATTTGCTGCACAACAGTCTTTTTTCCAGCATCGTTCCGGGCTGGTCGCTCTGGGATCTTGCGTATCGAAGCGATCAAAGCTGCCCCCACTGTACGCTGCACCAGTGGCCCAAGCTGCACAAGCAAGTGCTCTGGCCCGAAAGCAGCAACAGCTTCATCAGTGCGCTGCTTCCTTTGCACTGCTGCAGCAGCCCTACTAGCTGCCAACCTGTCTGCCACTCGAAGATCAGGCACTCCAATTGGCTGCGTATGCCCCTGCAAACTTGCACGCAGGCTAACACTGCCTCGAGGTCTACCAGCACGCCGTCCTACCGGCTTAGGTGCAGATGGCACCTGAACATCGGAAGCTGTAGCGAGCTCTCTTTCAAGCTCCTGAGACCAGTCATCTCCGGCATCTGCAGCTTGGGTTTCGCCAGATTCCCCTGGGTCATCTTCGCGACCTGCTTCTGCTTCGGCATTTCTGATTGGCTCGCTCAGCTCTGCGACCCAATCCTCCTCATCTTCCCACTCGAAATCGGCCATGCTCCGACAAGCCCCATCTTGATGACATGTGGAGGAGCCATGCCCAAACTTGCTTTTGACAATGACAAGTCATGGTCTCTCAGTCCTGGGACCTCAGGCTTATATGGGTCTTTACATCGAGCGGCAGCGTTAGCTCTGCGAATCTGCCCTATATAGTTTGAATATTAGAAACTTTGGAAGCGTTGCAAAAACTACACACACACACAACTCCTGCAGAACCAGAAATATGCCTGTGGGCATGGCCAGCAGAGCTAGCCTGCATGGTTCGCAAGCCCAAATCCGAAATCTGACCAGCTGACCCGAAGTCCCTTCAAATCGCTTCATGGTTTTGCACTATCCCCTGAATATACCACGATAGCCTGAATCTCGATCTAGGCCCTCAGCCTTAGGCGCCTTAGCCTTATGCAACCTGGCACCTGAACAAGAGAGCCCTACGAACTTCACCCGGAAACTCCAACACAGTAACACACAGCCCAAACTGCTTCGAGGACTGCAGGATATGTTGAGCCACTGGCCAAGATGCTAGGTTCTAGGAATTCTACACCGTAGAATCAATGAGCTTTAGACTCACTCCCTGGACTCGAAGGCAGTTGAGGCTGTGCAAGTACAGCCACTCCGGTTTTGAAGATTTCTGAAGATAGTGGTAATGTTTGCAATCTCGTCTTTGCCCTGCCGAGGTTTCGTGCCAGAATTCCGATTTGGGTCCCAGGTGCACCACTGCATCTCTGAGAAAACTAAGCAATTGAGCAAGGCTTGCATACAGAACACAAGGAGTGGTCGGCTAGGGATGGGGGTATCACAGCGCTGGGTGAGAAGTCGGGAACCCAGGCTACTGCATTCGGTGATGTTCCAGGGGTAAGCCTTGGGCCTTGGGGTGGCTTGGGGGTTTAAGCCTAGGGTGTAGTGTAGGCTCTATGGTCTGGGAATGTTTTGTGTTCTCATCAAGCAAGCCATTCTGCCGAAATCATGCCAGACGCCTCACTCAAACTGTATAGAACACACATTCTGACATTGCCCAAATTGAATCTGATTGACACAAGGCGGAATGAACAAGCAACAATGGCACCTTGGTCTCGAAATGTTCAGCCAGACGTCGGCATCCAGCTGCAACTTCACGAAGTAGTATCCGCCATGCTGGAAGTTCGCCTGCTGCATGGCCTCCATGAACCTGGCCGGCGTTGGTAGGTAGCCTGATGGCTGAAGATATAAACTTCTGTCGACTTTAGTTTGATGAGTGGGGAACCAGGCAAGTCGATGGCTCTACAAACTGCAAGGGCAACCCCACTGGACGGCACAGTGTGCTCAATCTGAGAATCGAAGCCACTACACTCACTACACACAGTCAGCAGCAAAGATTGAAAGTATGGATGCTGCTACCTGCTACGGCTGCAGCTGCTACTGCCAAACTGTTGCAACTGGTACTGCTACAGCAGTGCTACAGTCAGCTACAGCAGCGACTACAACCCGACCATGCGACGACGACAACATGCACTGGAAGCGGCTAACTGACTACATAGCTATCGACGCATGAAGCCCGAAAAACTCAAGCAGTAAACACCCTCACCAGGCCTGTCATATGGTGTGGCGTTCTGGCCTGAAGACAGAGGCATGATGAATCCTTTCACTTGCTCCAAAACACCCACATGGGGCTCATACTTCAAGTACATATCCACTGCAGTCTCCATGGTGAGCGAGAAATCTTCGTGCTGCTTGACTCGGCCATCTGCAAACCGCTTGGATCGCTGCACAGAAAATGGGTCGCAGGGCGTCCCTGTTACCAACAAGTCCACGCCTGGACCCTCCAAATGCCCAGTACAAGTATTCGCAGCATTCTGCTCCACACACAAGAAGCACGGTGCATCGCATGCCAACTGTGCCTCCAGGCTAGTGTAAAAGTGCCGGCAATGACTCCCATGATTCAAGAGGCAGAAGCTTCGGAAGTCTTGATTCAT